ACACACACACACACACACACACACACACACACACACACACACACACAGGAGTGCCCGCATTAATAAGAACGCTTACGGAGATCTACTGTCAGTACATTTTGTTCCGCAATGTCCTCACATTATGAACAGCTATCACAGCTTTCAGTCGGGCAGTGCCCTCTACTTGCTAAATGGCTGGTGAATTGCCTTCTTTCATTATTGGCTATATTGTTGTCAATCCTCTGGCGGTATTCCTTCCTAGATTAATGGATGTTGTCTTACAAGGTTTGAATCCTTTGAAACATTTAACGGAAAGAAAACATCACCGACTGCAAATGGATCGAGAAAAAAAAAAAAAAAAAAAAAAAAGGCAGCCGTACTCTAAAGCAGGCACGGTGCCAGGATTTCAATTTTGGATCGGCCAGACTAATTTTGTCTGGGCCTTTTAATTAACAGATGTTAACAATGTATGTCCTCCTTTGATGGTTTCCAACTGGTACTCTCGCTGAAACAGATATGACTGATATTGTGCTGTGGAAGGCAACTTTGTTGCATGTCATACCCCTCTCCCCTGTTTCCAGTCTGCCTCTTCACAGTCATCTTTCCAATGAAAGCAAAAAAGCCCAAATAACAATAATAGAAAAAAATATTAACACATCATGTTGTCACTTACCCTGAATTTATACTGTGTACTCCTCTTCAGGCCTTGTACAGTACAGGTCAGGTTTTCTCCAGTGTACTTTGGATGAAAGTCTATTCCCTGAGTGTAATACAGATACAGATAGACAGTCAGTAGTCTGTGTGTGTGTGTGTGTGTGGTTGTCAGCGTGTGTTAGTTTAAGTGTACATTTTGAGCATATGGGTGCAATAAATGCTGACTTTTGCATTATATATACGTGCTTGTGAGGGGGTGAAGGAGTGTGTGGGAGCATTTGGTGCAATTCCCTTCTTCTTTACGTGCTCAATCAAAAGCACAGTATGGTGTGTGTTTCTGTGTCTATGCTTTTACATTATAGGAATTACTGCTCTGTCCAGCTGCTGTTCATTTCCACAAAATATTTTTGCAATGTATTATGTAAGCAATTTTTCATATTTTCTCATAATCTTTTTACATCGCTTCCTGGTGGAAATTGTAAATTCTCCTCGGTCTATTCTTGTGAGATTCACATAACTGACAGCACAGAGCTCAATCAAATGTATTTTGATGGAAAACAACCTGTGCCAGTAACCTAAATCTAATAAATGTTTTCATTTAATATGGGTGTTCACATGTGCGAGGTACTCACGCTGTTGTCCTCCTGGATCTCGAGTGTGTATTTGAGCTGCTCCTCGCTCGGACTGGCCTCAGGACGCCCCCACTCCAAGGCCACCCAGGAAACCCCCGCCCTGACCAGCCGCGGTGCCAGCGGCAGAGCAGGCAGGGTGCCCATGGTGTAAAACACCACCTCTGTGCTGAAGCCACTGCACAAAACACATGTACATATATTCACGTTTTTATGTTTTTACTCAAAATGCTGAATCAAATGATTAACTTTGTGGATTATTACTTCTGAGGGAAAAGGGACTGCGGTGCAAGATGGAAGGGAGGCGGAATGAGGAGCATTTTTGAAGAGCGAAAGGAGAAGAAAAGGACACTGACATCAGGGCTCATTTGAAGGGAGTGCAGGGATGCGTGCAGGGTTGCAGGTGAGGATGGGGGCGTGGGTAGCTCCCAGTGGAAATAGTAAGAGGGGGAAGGTTAAAGAGGAGCTGTGACGGGGGATAAAAAGGATATACACATGTCAGGAGCCAGATGGAAAAGACAGAAAGAGCGGGAGGCTAATTTGAGAGGCGCAGGACGGAAAGATTTTCAATGTATGACCAGCATCAGGGGTTAGAGAGGTCGAAATAAATGTTCCAGGTAAGAAAAATAGCTAGTAATCAAAAGCCAGCATGTGCCCAGTTTGTTTGTGCGAGAATCTGTCCATGGCTTCAAAGGGGAATCAAGCCGAAGGATACATTAAGGCCGCTTTGATTTTGATATCTCCTCCCTCGCTCTCGCTCGCCCCCATCGCCTCCTCCCTGTCGCCCTAACGACTGCAGGCAGTATGCTCGCCGCCATAATGACAAACAGGAGACGAGAGGAGAGAGGAAATGGAGGGAAAATGACAAGAGGAAGAGGACTCATGCCACATGCAGAATAACAGCAACGGGTAGACGGGTGCATGTTTGTGTGTCTCTGTCCAGCACTTTATCATGCAAAATGATGCATTTGTTCCCATACTGTAGGTACAGTGTCCATGTTTACTATAACTATGGTTGGTGACCTGTCAGCTCCTCATGTGCAAAGCGGACACATATTAATAAATCCATCCTACCGTTAATGAACAAGGAATAAAAAAAAAAAAGAGTTATCTGCCTCCTGTGCTATTCATGACGACATGTGCGTGAATACACTTTTCACTTGAGTGTATGTGTGTATAGCACATGTGCATTCAGTAATAGGCAACAGTACCTTGTGCCAATGTCGTTGTGCGCAGCCACTCTGAACGTGTAGCCACAGGCGGGGAACAGTCTTGTCAGCTTACAGTGTTTCTGGCTCCCAAAGTAACATTCTCTGAAAACACTGTTCTTCTTTCCCTGCAGAGGAGACAAGCGAACAGGGGGGTAAGAATAATAATAATAAGATTTGAGGAAATTAATTAAGTTAATGAAGAAAAAAGAAAATCATAAAAGAGGAAGAAAGTAAGAAAGGGATGAGGAGAAGGAGAGTACGGACCAACATGGATTGGAGAGGCATAACCTGAGGAGGTGAACATTCATTTTGTGATGTCTGTGATACACTTTTTTTTTTTTTAAATAAGGGGCAGGCATGACAGATGATGGACATGAAGAGCGAGAGACTGACTCACCTCATCCCATTCGAGCAGGTAGTTTGTGATTTTGGAACCGTTGTCGCCTGGCGGCTGTGGGCGGCAGAGAGATGGACGGAGCAAGGGACAAAAAAAAAAAAAAGAGACGGAGAGATTAGCCGAGGATAAAGGAATCTGACACTGGCCTCATATCCTGTCTGGGGGACTGATGTCACTCTTTATCAGTGACAGTGTGAGTGGATGAAAAATGACTTGTGCAGAAAGGGTCAGAGAGGACAGAGAGATACGCCCTGACGGCGTTGTGCCACAATGCAAGAATGTCTCTCCATCAGGTGGTGATAAAGTCAAGCTTAGAGATAAACCAGGTGAATAGGAACATACCGTTTACTTTCATCAAAGTATTAAAGTTGTTTTTTGCCAAGTGTGTCACTGCGCAAATACAATTCAGTACACACAGACACACAAGAAAAAACATAAAGAGCCCAGAGTCTTGATTCGTGGCGTTGATTTCTAATAGCCTCATCGCAAATACCATCCAAACCAACTGACATGTCACCGTGATGTTTACTGGGTTTACTGGGGTGAAATGTGTTACTGTGTGTCTTTGAGATAAGACAGGAGTGTCTGTTTGTGCCAGTACCTTCCACTGTAGGGTGAGGGTGCTCTTGGTGCGGTGGGAGAGTTTCGGGGTTAACGGGACGTCGGGGGCGCTGCAGTGTGTGGTGAACGAGCCGGCCTCTGAACACGAGCCTCGAACAGAGTTGTACATTGCCGACACCCTTAAAACGAGCACACAAGACACCTTCATTGAGATCAAAATCCACAAAGCTATGACACAGAACATAAGAGTGTGACAAAAACATCGATATGGAAACGGTATAAAACACCACATCCAAAAAGAACGAGTCAAAAACATCCAGTGGCAATGTCCTTACCGTACGTGGTAGTCTGACGCTGGCCTTAAGTCTTTCAGATGGTACTCCGATTCTTCGCCACTGAAACACACGCAAACAAAGCACAAAAGTCACACCAGTGTACTTTGGATGTGTTCTAGTATTTGTAGCTGATTCCTGTTGTCATTTCAGCGTGTTCCCGTGTTACCTGTATATGAGGCGATACTTTCCATCTCGTCCCTTATCTGAGAGAGAGACCTCGTAGGCGCAGGACACAGGCATCCCGTTACTAATCCTGTTCACCAGCCCTGCAGGGGGGGCCCAGGACAGCCGTGCGGCCCGCGCCTGCACATTGGACACCTATGAGATACACATAAAAATACATACTGTATGTTACATACACAATTAAACCACGTATATGTGCCCATGCACAAAATGTGGAAATGATGTGGCTTTTGGTTAGTAGTTGTACGCAGGACAATTCACTTAAAAAAAAAAAAAGATTCTTTCTATTCTACTCTTTTCTATTGGAGGCAGCAGTAATAGCCTCATGAATATGTGTCTCTGTATGTGTAAGTGTAAAAAGTAATGTGTCATTGAAAACATTACCCCGGACTCTACTTCTCTTTCCTGCTCATGCACATCCATTGTGCCACACAAACACGAAAATGAGGCCTGCGTGTTTGTGTGTTCAGCTGTGTGCCCGTAGGCGTCTACGTGTTTATGGGAATTTTAGTTGCGGCACACTGTGGGTGAGCCAATTTAGTGTGATTTAGCACAGTCGGCATGCTATTCCAGACAGCACATCCACTGATTATGGCAATGAATGTGCCTTGAGGGCAAACCACAACCATGCCAAGACCGTCTATGAGGATGACAGACAGGAAGACACGCAGAGACAGACAAGTCATTGTGCTGAGAGTTTTGATCTTAATGATTAGGCTTAATGATTAGGCTTTATGAGGTCAAATCACATCCTATTTTATTGACTGTTTTTTACCGTCATTGACTGCTGACTCCTCACTCCTCTTAACCGGCTCATAGGGGCTGCAAGTGACCGCAAACTGCTTAAGAAGCAAAAGGCATTTCCGGCAATCGGCCAGGCCAAAAACAAGCCTTAGGTAGTCTGTTGCGGGCCACATTTCGGCCATTGTAGTGGCTCAAAAACTCACATTCGTGTAAAAGTTTGGTCTCATTTTGAACCAGAGCATCTGCAGATTAATCTTAGAGATTACTCCTTTTCCCTGCGTACTTCTCTTTTAGCCTCTCATATTTCAATTTGGCTCAAGTAGACGCACCGACCTGCTATGAAAGCAAACAACACAATTAGAGGAACATTTATAAATGAAGAACTTTCTCATACAAGCCTCTGTGACACCTGCACCCGTGTCTGGATGAAACGCAGCTGAATCCATCACGAGGCACTTCAGCTGTTGCAGTGAGGACTGCACAACTTACTATCTGTCCCTATACAGAATAGCTCCGTACCAAACTATTGTCTCCTTTATAAATGCACTACGGTAATGGGGTGTCAAAAGTGACTGAACATCACATCCGCAGTTTATGACACAAAATAGCAATCGATGACACAAGAAGATCTCGAAATTGTCCTCTTTCCTTCCCCTCCCTTTGAGTATCGACTATAATAAACTAGCTGTACAAGAAAAGAGGTGATTTGAGGTTATGAGAGCGAATTAATCACTACTGCACACTTCTAACCTCCCAAAGGGCTTCAAACTCAAAACTAACCTCTTTCTCTCTCTCATCACTCCATTCTCACTGTCTGCTTCAACCCCCCTTATAAACTTGCAGATATCAAATGGTCCAATTGCACAGCCTGCTGACCAAACTCCTTTAACCTGGAGCGAGCAATTCCTCTCAACCAAACTATGTCTGCACGGCTCCAGCTCATTCATTCACATTCCCCTTGGGCAAGAAAAAGAAGAGAAAAAAAAACCTGTTAAAGTGTTTTTCAGCTGATAAAGGACGAGTGGAAAGTGCGTGGCATGGATGAGCAGATGCTGCCCTCATGTGGCCAGGCTGAGCAGAGATTCTATGACGGGTTACCCTCCCTGTCACTGCTGTTAGAGCCACGAATTACTTTAAAACGAGAGACACGCTTCATACATACGTCACCACAGTGATTATTTTCAGTGTAAACATTTATGTTGATCACAGAGACGGGATGAATATATGGAAAATGCATCAACCCTCATGCCAGCCAACTGCATAGACAAGAGGTGATTGATGAAAGTGGTTGTAAGTGTGTTGTGTGTGTGTGTGTGTGTGTGTGTGTGAGAATACCAACCTGTGGTTTGTCGATTGCACACAGCATGTCTTGAACACGCTTCCCATCTGAATCATGATCTGAGGAGACACAGACGGAGACAAAAAGAGTCATTATCAAAGAACCAACAGCAAAAGGCTTTTAACGTGATATTCAAGAGAAAAGAGAAACTGGCACTGATAATAATCGCATAATAATCGCAGTCCGTGTGCGTAATTCATGTATTTCTCAACTTCATTTCAATTTTTAAAAAAAAGAAACATTCCACAGTCCAAATTTCAAAACAGATGCACATTAGCAATGGTGGCAGTGCTGCTGAAAACGGGGCTGTTGATTGACATAGAGACAGTTTTCAATTCCCACAAGCCATGTGTCATTGTGATGTATTGGAAACTATGGCTCATTATTGTCCCGACGTCAGCCAAGGTTGGCATCTAGATGGTAAAATTGTGGGGTCAAAAATTCAGCTAAGATACCTAATCATCCCTGATACTGTCTGTGGAAATGTTAGTCATCTGTGGAAAAGAACACAGAAATAGTCCAAAATCAAGTGAAAACAGAACTAAATTCTAAATAAGTGAGTTGCCTAATGGTGTGTGACGCAACATGTGTTTTTTTCGGCAACCGCCTGTTTCATCCCATCAAGTCATCATGAACACAGCCCTTTGGAACAAAAACTGTAAATGATCTATCGTTCCACAGAAAAGCATTAATCACACAATTCCTGACGGGGATCACCAAAAATACGACTCATATTTCACAGTGACTGTTCTGTTCAGTACACGGAGACTCTGGATTATCTTTAGTTCCAAGAAATCATTAAATGAATCATTACGGATCATTTCCAATCAACCACATAATCATCTGACGTCAGCAGTGTTGTTGCAGCCCTGCAGTACAGCTTGTTGCATAACATTATGCTGAATACAAGGCCATGTGTGTATCATATGACTGTGTTGCTATAAAATGCTGCTGCTTTATCTTATGACTCTACTAGTCTAAAAAGAAAACAGGATTAAGATATTTCTCATGCAGCCCTTTATCATCCTTTATTTATTTGCATTTTATTTGGTCATCTGATACAGATGCAATACAATAGAGCGGACCAGATATAGCCACTAAGTCACAAGTGTGGTTCCAAACAATTGGTTCCATATTTCTTCCTGTGCAACTGAAAAGGTTTTCGAGGAGTAAATGTTAACTTATGTGTACATGCTAAGAACAAGCGTAATAACTATACATACTCAGAAATAGAACAGAAAAAGGATGTATTTCTATGCAAATGTTGAGGCTTCTTATTATGCAATATATTTTGGATTCAAATGTTAACACGGTTGTGCTAAAACAACAGATAATTTAAGCAGAAATGTCACACATTTAACTCTTCCCGTTTCTCAAATCTGAATTTTTGTCATTTCTCTTCCCAAAGCATGATTTTGGGTGGACTATTCCACTGTGACGGCAAACACACACATATGCACACAAACACACACACTCAAGTACAGGTCTGGTCCAGCGATACGATGCGTCTAAAGGTGATTTATTGGACACTCGGGGTAGTCAGAAGGGTGAGTGAGTCTGTGTGTGTACACATGTGTGTGTGTGTAATGGAAGTCTTTCCCTCCTGTGTGATCCCCGCAGTTGATGTTTTTCCGACCAGAAGAGGCCTGCTTTCTCCATCTGAGTCTGACCACCGTAAATCACACAGGATGTATGTGTATGTGTGTGTGTGTGTGTGTGTGTGTGCGTGTGCGTGTTTGAGGGTCAGCAATACAAGACCTGTATGAAACCAAGTCTGTTTGATGAGTGTGTTACTGGTACATGACTGCATCACATAGGCATCAACACACAACTGCACACAGACACACACAGTATACTTGTATAAAACAGCTTGTGCTTCATAGATCACTGTATACTGCGAGTAAGTGATGAATGAGAGATCGTGTGTGTGTGTGTGTGAGAGTGTCTAAGTCCCTCTGACAGGTTCTGTGGGGGAGAGGGCCTCACTGTGCCTGGGGGTACACTATGAGTCATGGCAACAGTGATGTCATGGAAGCACAACCTTAACTTGACCTCCTCGTGTGTGTGTGTGTGTGTGTGACAGAATAAAAAAAGCAAGCGCAAGAGAGACAGCGAGTGTGTGTGTGTGTCTCCCAGTATCAGGTTACAGGAGATTGGTAATGAGCGATAGCAGGAGGGGGGGTTAAGCTACTGTGTGTGTACGTGTGTGTGTGTGGGTCGGGGCTGGCAGCGTGAATAGAGTTCAAGAGGTAAAGTACACACTCTGCATCACTGCTAGACACTTTGGCTTATTAGCAAGCCTTTTTTTTTCTTCATATATACGCACACTCGTCCCCTTTCATCCATTTGGACAAAACATAACTTTTCTCTTTTGTGGAATAACGACACAATCAGACAGACAGCTCCAGGCACGAACAGCTCTGACCCGGCTTATTCCACCCATTCATCACAGCTGGGAGAGAAAGGAGAGTACTGGCTGTTTAATGCCGCAGTCCTGTAGCTACTTGTCTGGTGCAGGTACCAGCGTTAAGGCAAGAAGAGGTGGAATTCTATTACAGCATAATTTCAGCTACCACGTTCAGCAAACAACAGATGCTAATGATCAAACAATATGCATGGCTGACGAACAGCACAAGCCTCAAGGCTTTATCCGGAACCGGAGACATTAATTTAGCATTTACAGTACAAATGGTAAAAATCATGTTCTGCCATTTCCTTGTTTTGTTAGAGACAGAGGCTGGTGCTGTTTATATGAATCTTATAAAAAAGAAAATTATGAAAAACAATCCCTTAGGTATCCATTTTTATATATATTATTATCTGGAATGTTTACAGTACAACCAGTTAGATATTCCGTACTGGTCTTTGGTGACTAGTTAGGTAAACGTCTGTGAAGATGTCAGCGTCTTTTGTAACTTTTTTTTCATTTATTTGTTTATTGGAAACTGTGATGAGAGTAAATTTAGGCCAATGAGAGATTCTCAACGTCATTCATTCAATACATTTGGTTTATCCTCCAGCCCAAAAGAACTCCATTCACTGATGAAGACTATTAGATCAAGCAAATGTCAAACGTCCCTTTAAAATCAGAGTTTTGATTGAGCATTTTTGCTTTTCTGTAATTTTGTAGCTCGCTGCATCTCGAGGGCTAAATCAGGAGCAAAGGTAGGACCACGTCCAAGTTAAATTATTAACTTGAATAATCCTAGATTTAATGGCTGCATTACGTAGCTTCTTACAGCACAAACAATTCTGCACTGAATGAGACGGACTAATACTCTATGAAAAAAAAAGTTGGCAAACACAAACTTTGTGACAGAAGTAAGTGATTTATGTAATATTTCAGGAGACCAGTAATAAAGTTTGAAAAACACTACTGCTTTACCTCACCGCTGAGTGTTATGACTTGCTGTGGTTGCTGAGTCCAGCTGCTTAAGTGTTTAATATAGAGAACCACGAAGAGCTGATGCTGACGGCTCAAACAGAAACTGAATCTCCTCCCACTGTAACTCCACACACACTCCTCTGTCCTCACTGTCCCTCACCTCCTCTTTTCTTCTGTTTATGTGCTGCCCACGCACCCTCACTTCCTCTCCGCGTCTGACCTCACATCCTGTCTGCATCTGACTGCCTGCGTTTGGTTACTGAGGACAGCCAGACGGAGCGAGGGAGTGCAACGGACAGCAGGAAAAGAAGAGGAACGGGGAATTGAGGAGGGGGGCGCAGCAGGCCGAGCCAAAAACAGACGGGCGAGGGATTTAGAGGAAGAAAGAGAGACACTGAAGGACAGACTGCACACAGAGAGAGAGTGAGAGAGAGAGAGAGAGAGAAGACAGGCAAGAGGAGTCTGGGTAAGAGATTAGGTGCAAAAACGCAAGGAAATTGAGGGACAAAGAGCAAGCCAGGGATCAACAGAGAGGAGGAGAAAGGGAGGGATGAAAGGAAAGAGGGCGGAGAGGGTTTAGGAGGATGTGAGGCAAGGATTACACAAACTTTTGTGACATCATCAGTAGGCGCAGAGCAGTTGCGCACCACTGATCTCAATGTACATAGCAGTAGTCACTACTACTGGAGGTCTTTTTTTGTCGATGTAATAGAGCTGTGAAGTGGGAACCACTATTCTGAAAAAATTGTCCAACTGTAAATTTACTAATTACTACTTATTTACTCATACTAATGGCCATCCGTTTTAATCATATAAGATAAATGGTGCTGATGCTAATGAAAAGAATCCGTCTGAAGCACATATCAAAGCTGGAGCAAATAAAGAACACTTCTTGTCCATCTGTCTGTCTGTTCGTCTGTCTTCCTGTTGGGACATACGCATTATGCTTTTCTACCGAGTGTTCGATAAAAAGATTGATGCCACTCTCAACTCTGTATGTCTGTACGCTAAATATGAAGCTAATCTAAACGAACTGCCTGCTAATATGAATTCATCACTTATATTTTCATATAACTCTCAGTAAAAGAAATGTGTATTTCCCAAAATGTCAAACTATTAATTTAATCTGCAACTAACTTGACTTGCAAAATGATTTGTCTCTCGCCGTTCACTACCAAGCATATTTTATCCGAAATAAGCTCCCATTGGATCCACCGGAAGGGGAGGGACTTCATTCCTCTTTTGGATTATTTGTACACATTCACATAAATACTATCGGATGTGAGCTTCCTTCTGTCTATCAGTCCCATTCCTTCCTTCGCTCTCTAATTCTTACGGACCTTGCTGCCTCAGTCCTCCGCAAATACATGTTTACAACAATCATTTTAATGTCATACACCTACACACTTAATTAGTGGCATCACTTGAAAATAGAGCTGGAGTAAAAATGAGCCACGCCGACGGTGAAGAGCTTGCATTCCTGCTGCATGACGGCCTGCGGTTCTTAGATGCAGCCTGGCTGGGACAGAAAAAGACCTTTAAGGCCCGGAGAAAAAAATGTGAAAAATGTGGCGCTCATTCAGCCCCCACTCAACACACATACTGAGCCACAGGGTGTGTGTGTGTGTGTGTGTGTCTTTAGAAGCCTCTAATCAGGGAGAACAAAGCAAAGCA